AAAGTTAGGCCACCACTGCAAAATGATTTCGTCTCAAAAAATTTTTCGAATAGTTCCTCGAGGATTTCCTCGAGATTTTTCAAGGAATTTCTCGAAGTCGTGTCGAAAGGATACACTGGTCACAGCCTCCAATTTGCCCAACTCACCACTGGCCATCACACTGGCTGAATAAAATGGTCCCACTAGCCGGAAAATCGAGTATCCAGTCAACTCAACAATTCCCACGAAAACACTGGGAGTTGTTAGGAAAAACAGAGAAGATATTAGAATTCCAGTAGACGTGCGATTCGCCTAAAATGAGACACGTTCTCGGTATCAAGCTAGCTAGATACGAACCTGTTGAAATTTTCTCTGATTGCGATCTACCGAATTTGTCGCTACGGTATCTTTCTCAACGGCTCGGATTTTGAAGCATAAGCAAATGGATAGGAATACAACTATTAGTCCCAAACACTGGAATTTCAAAATTTTATCAACTGGACCCCACAAGACACTAACCATATTTGAGATTCCCCAATAGTATCGAAACTCATTGCTCACAAAACATCCACTAGTTCCACAGTTTGGTCTCCGTTTTGGCGGGGATAGAATGAACCATAAAGTTGCGTCAAACAGTGCCAAAAGGATGCCAGTTACTACCACGATTTCAGAATAAATGGATGGTTCCATTTTTCGAAACCATCCCGGGAAGAATACTGCCTGGAATTTCAGTTTCAAAATCAGATGTTTTTATGTCTCTTACCAAGTTCCTACTCAACGCTATACCAATAGTAATGGTTGCTGAAATTTTCAACTGCATAGGTAGCGGGATGGAGGAGATGAGAATGTACAGAGGATTGAAGTCCAGTTGGTTGGGATTCCAGTTGAGGATCATGTAAATGATGTATGGGGCTTCGCCGATAGCGTAGAGAAAGTCTCCCACAGAAAGGTACGACACAAGACGGAGGTGTTTGTTTTTTCGAGGGTTGGAACTCTGCAAAATTATTTATTTTTATTATGGGTCCATTTTTTCAGGGTCCCTTGTCAAAGGCCTTTTTCCAGGGTCTCTTTTTAAGATCAATTTTTTTCAGGGGTATATTTAAGAGACCTTTTTTTTAGGGTTCATTTTTTCAGAGTACATTTTTAAGGCCTGGTTTAGGGTCCTTTTTTAAGGGGCCCTTGTTTTTTTAGGACCTCATCAAAATAGAACAAACTCTAAAATTCTTGCTTACTTTACAAAAATCAGGATGATAAGTCCGTTGATGGCAGCGCAACATGTTTGTAATGATAGTACTAAAATATAGGTGCCAAGATAGATTTCATCGGAAAAGTCGTTGTCCGAATCAGTTGGATGGGTGCTCATTTTTTCGTGATGGGCTCTGAAAAATTTGAGATTACTGTAACCACCCTGATGCAGAGGAAGCCGAAGCATTCATTTTCAACTTTAAGCCAATTTATCTCGGTCCCTATGAGAGATATTAAAAAATGGTCAACTAGCTAAATATTTCTGATGTTATGATAAACATATTGTCATGTGACAACTTGTTAATTTCTTTTTTAGGAAAGGAGATACAAGGGCTCAAATTTGACGATTAGAGATTTTACGGTAGTATTAGGTGTTTTGAAGTTTCGAAAACTTGATGATAAAGTCGAGACTATCCAATAATTCATACACAAGCAAAACATTTTGTAATTCAAAATGGGGATTTTCAGAAAGCTGTATTAAAAATTATGGTATTCAGAGGAACCGGAATGAATGAAGTGACCAATAGAATGACCAGTCTTTAAGCCAATTTTTCTTGGTTTCTGTGAAAGATATCAAAAAGTGGTTACCGTAAAACCTCCCAAATAGAACGACNCCCGGATCNNCCNCTTTGANCCTATATATCTCATTTTCTGCNAAAAATATCAAAAAGTGGCTGACTAGTAAAATGTTGCTGATATCCTGATAAACATTTTACTAGTTAACCACGTTTTTGATATCTTTCAAAGAAGTGAGATATATAGGCTCAAAGTGGACGATCCGGGTGTCGTTCTATTAGAGGTTTTACGGTAACTGATAAAATGATTTTGATATTATGATAAACATTTTGTCAGTTGACCACTTTTGGATATCTTCAACAGGAAATGAGATAAAATGGATATTTAATCGAAATCGGAATTTTTGACAGGTGAATTGATATAATAGAATGGCATAGTTGAATCGGGTAGTTCTACAAGACGGAAGAAATTTAAGAACCAATTTCAGAGATCCGATTGTGCAGAATTTTCATAATTTATGATTGGGGATAATTGCAGTTTGGATTTTGGGGGTTTTCAGAACCAACTTTCCACTTTGATCCTATTTATCTAGGTTTCTGTAAAAGATATCAAAACTTGGTTAACTGATAAAATGATTTTGATATTATGATAAACATTTTGTCAGTTGACCTCTTTTGGATATCTTCAACAGGAAATGAGATATATGGGTTCAAAGTTGAAACAATATTGAATTTTTTATAACTTTCCAAAGAAATCTTCAACTCAGAAAAATCTATCAAGCGCATCTGATTCAAATTTATTCAATAAAATTTCCGAAGATCAAATCTTTGAAAATTCAAAAAATTACTTTCCCATGACGATGTCAAAAAAACTGAGTTAGGAAGCACTAACAGATTAATCATGGGAAAATTGTGCTAGGTTTTTTGTCTGGAATGGAAAATGGGGTTCCTTGAGGATCCAAAAATTCTGAACAGAAGTAATAAGACAAGGATCGAATGTTGGAAAATTCAAAGAAGCAAGATTCGATATTTTGAGCACTGGACCGGAGATTTATTGTCCTTTCAAATCAAGCAAGGGGAAAAATAAAAATATAACGAGGCGTTCTATTATATTAGAGTGTGTACGGTAAAAAAGAATTCATGGTTAACACACGAACTGAAAAAAAATGATAAGAAAAAACATGAGAACGGCAGAGTCACTAAAAAACAAAAATTTGAAAAGAATACATATGTAACCTCGAAATATGATTAGTTCTAGAGAGGGAATGTCTGCAATTTTCATATCAACGTAACGTCAAATAGTGGAGTTTCCTGAAACCTGGATGACAAGTTAGATCCTGATTAAAGTGACTAGTGACTAACCAGCGCTTTTATCACGTTTTCTAACATTACTGTGTCACTTTTTGACACACCCCAAGGCTTCGGAAAAAGGGCCGCGGTCGGCCGCGGTTCAGGCCGTGGGTAGGTTACCGTGGACCAAACCTTCTAGGGCCGCTAGTACGCCGAATCCTACCCGTCCCAAAAGTGACCTTACCAAAAAGCCGCGCTCCTAACTCCGACAGTGTTTAAATAATCTAGAAACCGTTTCTGAAATTTTCAGATCAAAAAGTAGAGAATTTAAATTTCGAAAGGATCAAGAAAACAGAAAATTTGGATCCAGACACTTCTATCACACACTCTTACAACGAAATTGACTGCTTTTGTTGTTCGAGAGAAAATTTCGATTCTAGTTTATTATGTGGGAAGTGTGAGAAATCAGGAATACTTCAGAATTGGAAAAACGCATTGATGAAAGTTAGGAATTTATAAGAGTTAATATAGCAAAAGGGTTCGGGGCCATCGGTCGACTATGGACACCGCGTAGCTGAGCCGATAACGGCGCGATACCTCAAACTTTTTGAAAAATAATCATCTAGAAGGATCTAGAAGGAACGAAAAGGATCTAGAAGAGAAGGAAGTGAATTTTTAATTGATTAAATGTTACAGTATTTTACAAGACTAAAGGTATTCAACGCATTCTGGAAAAAAAAACAAAAAAATCCGAACAACAATTAAAATTATTCGTTTTCCCTACTTTTATACAATCTCGTTTGTTTTTTCCGAACCTCTTTCCAAATAATTTTTTCGTTTTCTTGGAAAATTTGAGTTTTGAATTCAGACAAAAACATTTGAATTTCGAGAAATTCAAAAAGACTCATTTCGCCGAGATTTATTTATTTTTAGACAAATTAATTAACCATTTTTTTTCGAATCATTTGTGTGAAAACTCAAAAAAACAGTACGTTACTAGAAACCAAAACTTCAATTTTTTATTTTGAGTACGTTAACAGATTTTTCGGAGTGTTTTATGGAGTTATGGTATGCATTTTGGTGTGACGGTTAGTGTGCTGTGTCGATTGTTGACAATCGACAAAAATCGACAAAATCGGTGTCGATTTCGTCGACTCGATCAAAAATCGATAAAAAATCGACTTTTCAAAAGTCGATGAAAGTGAAAATAAAAAGAAAAAGTAAAATTTTGTCGATTTTGAATCAAATCAAAATCGACAAGAATCGACAAAAATCGACAAAAATCGACTTTTGCCGTTTTTTAATCCGAGACCGAGAGGATTACACGGCTGGTGACCTAGAAACTCTCTGTTCTTTTGTTGTGCCTGTTTGAAACTGTCAGTGTGTTCATTTTGACATAGTGGCCGAACTTATGCAAATTTGGTTTTCTAGGCCACCACTTCAAAATAGCCTAAAAATGTCCTAACATGACCCTGGTGTGTTTTCTAGGCTATTTTTACATGGTGGCCTAACTGTTGTAAGTTGAGTTTCCTAGGCCACCACGTTTTTTCGACTTTTGTCGATTTTTTGTCGATTTTAAGTCGACTCAAAATCGACAAAAGTCGATTCTTGTCGATTTTCGTCGTCGCAAAATTGACAGGAATCAATTTTCGTCGATTTCGTCGACTTAAAATCGACAAAAATCGACAACGAGAAGTTCGATTTTCATCAACAAATAGCTTTGTCGAATTGTTGAATGTCGATTGTGTCGATTTCAAAGTTGACAAAAAATCGTCGATTTTCGAGTCGATTCAGCATTCTAGTGACGGTACAGTGGCGCGTAGCTATCGCGGTCGCCCGCGCAGCTTGCGCTACCGTAGCTCAGCCGGTAGCGGCGCGGCACCTCCAACGGTGGGGCCATAAGTTCTATATGAACGGAATTTTGTGGACATTATTTTTTTTCCAAGATCTCATACCTTCAAGGAACTACAGTAGTACGATTTTTGAATAATTTTTTGTTGTTTTGAATTTTCTGGCCTCTTTTTTGACACTCAACAGAACATGATTAACTGAAAGAAGTAAAATCGTATTTATATTTCACAATATTATAAATAATCATTATTACAAATAATTAGTATCTTATCACAACAGATTTCGCGGCTACTGAAACCGTGTGGGTCATAGAAGGTCCGCTTTTATTTATGATCAAACGACGAGTGTCACCATTGCAACCGATGAAAATGATTCCGTTGCAGATTCCTGAAACAGACAAACTCTTGGTTTTTATTTGTCAGTTTTTCGTGATTTTTCAAAGCTCATGTTTTTTGTCTTGGCCCGGTTAGTAGGTATTTAATGGGATTGCTTAAATATGTCTTGTCATTTTATCAGTAGTTGAACTGATATCTGTCACCATTGGTTCACTTCATTCAATGAAAAATCGTGTTGGTGGTATTAGGACAAACATTTTAACAGTTGACAAAGTTTTGATATCTCACACAGTAACTGAGATAATTGAGTTCAAAAATGCAAGGGGTGACGTTCTGTTATAGTACCCATTAAACCAGGGCTTCCAAACTGTCATACTCGAGCCAATTTATCTCGCTTCTTATGAAAGTTATAAAAAATTTGCAAAATAAAAAAATGTTGATGACATAATGATAAACAATTAATTAGTTGAAACATTTTTGATATTTTTCATAGAAACCGAGATAATTAAGCTCGAAAGTGCAAGTAAGTTTTCAGTTTTGTGACTCACCACTAGCCATCAAACTGGCCGAATAAAATGGTCCCACTAGTCGGAAAATCGAGTATCCTGCCAGCTCAACAACTCCCACGCACACACTAGGAGTTGTTAGGAAGAATAACGAGGAAATTAGAATTCCAGTAGACGTTCGGTTTGCCTAAACAAAAATTTTTTTTTGAAAATTGTTTAGTTTTGTCAAAGGGAAGTGTGGACCACCTTGGAGCTCAATTATCTCGGTTCCCATGAGAGATATCAAAAATCCGTCAACTGATAAAATATTGATGATATTATGATGAACAAATTTATCAGTTGATATTTTTATGATATCTTTTGAAGGAACCAAGATAATTGAGCTTAAAGCTCAAGTATGAGCAAATAAGGTATTTCAAAAGACCTCTTACAAACAATCTCATGGGACGAAAGCTATAAAATACGAACCTGCTGAAACTTGTTCCTTTGAAGAACTGAATTCGTCATCGGTGTTCTCTTCTCAACAGCTTTGATTTTAAAACAAATACTAACGGATAAAAATAACACCAGGAATCCGAGTAACTGAAATTTTCAAGTTTAAGATTCTATGTTCCTTAGAGACTCACCATATTCGAAATTCCCCAATAGTATCGAAACTGATCGCTAACAAAACATCCACTAGTTCCGCAATTTGGCATACGAGTTGGTGGGGATAACCCAAACCAGAGTATTGCGTCAAATAGTGCCAAAAGGATTCCAATAGCTAGCACGATTTCAGCATAATAGCTTTCTTCCATTTTTCGAAACCATCCCGGGAAGAATACTGCCTGGAATTTCATTTTCAAAATCAGATGTTTTTATGTCTCTTACCAAGTTCCTACTCAACGCTAACCCAATGGTGATCGTTGCTGAAATTTTCAGCTGCATAGGTAGCGGGATGGAGGAGATGAGAATGTACAGAGGATTGAAGTCCAGTTGGTTGGGATTCCAGTTGAGGATCATGTAAATGATGTATGGGGCTTCGGCAATTGCAGTTACAAAGTCTCCAACAGAAAGGTAGGAGACTAGACGGAGATGTTTGTTTTTGCGTAGTACGGGAAGTCTGGAACATTGGATAATGGTTCTGCTGTTAATTGTGGTTGATATACCCGGGGAATGGCCGGCTGAGCTACGCGGTCCAAGGTTTTCTTTATCAAAGCCTAACATGGTAAAATATACTCTATGAACTTGCAAAAGGATTTTTGCTCTTTTGGGTTAACAAAGCCAAATCTGGTTTTATGCACCTTGCAGGAGGCTGGTCAGGCTCCGGATTAGACCTTTACTGAAATTGAGCGTATTCCTACGAACTACAATGTGGCCAAAAATCATAAGAAGGTATTTGAGAGCTTTTTTCCACGGTTTCCAACAGGTCCAGCGACAGAGAAAATGGTCCACTATTATGCCGCCAGTGGGCTTCTTTTGACCAAAACAGGGCCAAGAAAAGCCGAAGTTACACGCTCTTATAGACTGCTACCATATGTTTGCACTTTGAGCTCAATTATCTGAATATCCATTAGAGATGCCAAAAACCTTTAAACTACAAAAACTTTGATGATCATACGATAAACATTTCATCAGTTCACAAATTTTTGATATCTCTCACAGATTCTGAGATAATTGTGCTCAAAAGTGCAATGGTCTAGTAGTACTGTACTTCTATCTACACTTACTTCGCAAAGAACACAATGATAAGTCCATTGACAGCTGTACAACATATTTGAAGCAAAAGTATGAGAAAGTAGGTGCCGAGGTAGACTTCGTTGGAGAACTCACCCATGTCTGACTGTCCACTTCTCATATTTTTTTCCTTCTCAACCTGAAGAAAACGATTTGATTAAAGAAAGAAAAACCGACGTAATTTTCTTATTTTCAAGTGAATTTAATCAAAGGAGAGCATAGAGAGCAATAGATGGGAAAGCACAGAGAACAATAGGACAGCTAATTTTAAGCCAATCAATTTATCTCGGTTCCTGTGAAAGATATCAAGAAGTGATCAACTGATAAAATTTTACTGATATTATGATAAACATTTTATCAGTTAACTACTTTGTGATTTATTTGACAGGGAATCAGATAGACTGGTTGAAAGTTTAGCGAAGGACATGAACCAAAAAAGCCCTTACATTGTCAAGTTTAAGCCAATTTATCTTGGTTTCTGTAAAAGATATCAAAAAGTGGTAGACTGATAAAATTTTGCTGATATTATGATAAACATTTTATCAATTTACTACATTTTGATATCTTTAACAGGAACCGAGATAAATCGACTAGAAGTTGAAAGATAACGAGGTCATGCTATTGGAGTGTAGTTTCGAGAACTTGAAAGGTTCCATGATGATTTTTCAAATAAAAGTCACCTAACTTGATTTATTAGAATCAGAAAACTTGATTTATCCAGGAAGTATGTGTATTTTGATCAAATAACATAAATCGCGTAACTGGTTCAATAACATAAACTTGTTTTTTAGCTTTTTTAGCTACTCGAAAATGGAGAACGCCTGAAAATTACCGAAAAACAATTATGATGATTTGAAGTAAGATCAATTTTTTAAAATATTAAAAAATTTTAGCTTTTGGAATGTGAAAAAATTTTAAATTTTGCCCATAAAAACATTTTGAGCAGTTGAAACACCGTAATTGCTCTTATAGGGCGCCATTCTTATACTATGACTTTGAGCCCAATTATCTCAATTTCGGTAAAAGATATTGAAAATTTGTAAACTGTGAAAATGTTAGTGATATTATAATAAGTAATTTATCAGTTGACAGGTTTTTGATATCTTTCACAAGAACCGAGATAATTGAGCTCAAAGTAGAGAGAGGGTGCCGCGTCGATAGAGTTGGCGAATGACTGATGTGACGTCTACCCTTTACCAGACCCACCTCCTTATCAGAACACACCGTTTTCCATGTTATTCCAAAGTTTTCAAAAATTTTCGCTGTATGTCTCCCAGAGTTTTCAATTTTCGCTGAAATTTGGAAAAAAAACAAACTCTGGCTAGACTGTTCAGAAAAAAAACTTATGCAGATTAGAAAATTAATGAAAACAAAGAAAATGTTCATAGGAAAAAAATTTCGAAAGGAAAAAAAATTCGGGAAAAAAAAAGAAAAAAAATTTTTCTGGAAAAAAATTTCGAAAATCTTAAAATAAACATGTGATTTTTATCAGAAAACGAAAATTTTTTTTTCAAATTTCCAGGCAAAAAAAACGCTCAATTAGTGTCTTTTTCAAAATTTTTCAGGTGACTAACCCTTCATGAATTTTTGACTCTAGCTGATAAAGTGTAACTATCCAGGATTTTTTCAGAGTGTGTTTTCGTCGAAAATTTTCAGACTTTTTCTATTCCAATCTCTATTCAGACGTCTTGTTTTTGAGTCATAGAGATAGTGAAAGGAATCAAAAAATAGTGATTTAGGCTTTTTTGAAAATGATTGGGTGTAGGAAGTGAAAATTGAGACGAAGATTATAGACATTTTTTTTGAAATTTAGACAAAAGTCAATTGGGTACTTATGAATCAGAATTTGCTCGAACGACGGAAGAATGGAAAGATTTCGGGGAATTTTCGTGACGAGTTACTGTATTTGCTCTAATAGAAGCCCGCCCTCTACACTTTGAAGCTAATTATCTCGGTTTCTATAAGAGATATCAAAATTTTGTCACTTGTTAAAATACCAGTCGGTTTACGCCCCTTCGGGGCTGAACCTCCTGGCCTCCGGTCGGCCTCCACCATCGACCTTTCTGCCCACCACCCTTTAGTGTGGTGAAACCAAGGAACGTCTCCAGAAGACTTCAAAATCAAAATTTAGAAAAACCAAAAGTTCGGGCATCAACTAAGACACAATTCTGATCTGCCTGTCCAGGTTTCAGCTCGATCGGTTGACTTTGAATGGGTGATAAGGTGCGCTACATACATACGCACATACAGAATCTGGTGAATGTTATTAGTAATGATTGGTAATATTATGATAAATATTTTATCAGTGGAACAATTTTCAATATCTTTTACAAGAGCCGAGTTAATTAAGCTCAGTGCACGGGTGGGTTTCTATTAGAGCAAATACGGAACAAAATGAGCGAAATTTTCCAAAAAAAAGTTTTACTTAGAATAACAATAACAATGAGTACTTCACACGAAAAAAGTCGAACTAATTGTTCCAGGCTCTCTTCGAAATTTCTAGAAGTTCCATGAAAACTACATTTGTCAACCAACCGTCCACTTTTGAGCCTATATATCTCTTTTTTTTTTAAATACATCAAAAATTTGTCAACTAATTAAATGTTGGCTCTGTATGATTATAATGATGTTTTGAGAAAATAGAGGTATTTTGAGAATAACAAGGCATTTTGAGAATAAGATGGTATTTTGAGAATTGAATAGTGTTTTGTCTAATTTTCAGAATTTTGATCATTTTTAACACATTTAAGATCGTACTTTCAAAATCTAATCTGATAACTATAGTTTCAAGACATATAACAAGAAATGTATATATATTTCGGAAAACTGACAACTGCCAAGATTTTTCAAGGCAGTACACTTACAGACCGTATTCTTCAACTGAAGAAGAGACAAGCAAATGAATGCTGTTAACGTAAAGAAAGGAAATACAAAACTATCTTGAAACTATAGTTATCAGATTAGATTTCGAAAGTACGATCTTAAATCTATTAAAAATGATCAAATTGCTGAAAATTAGGCAAAACACTATTCAATTCTCGAAATACCATCTTATTCTCAAGATACCTTGATATTCTCAAAATACCACGATTTTCTCAAAATACCACGATTTTCTCAAAATACCATTATAATCATACAGAGCCGAAATGTTTATCATGATATCAGTACTATTTTATTAATTAATCAATCTTCGTTATCATTCTTATAATAAACCAGCAAGCTGGTGAGTCTTCGGCGCGATTTAACCCAGTTTCTTGGCAAATAATTCGGATGGTACAACAATTCGGGGGTGCGAGGGGGTACAAAGTAATTTAGGGGACAAAATCAACAATTCGGGGGTACAAACTAAGCCTTTTTTCATGTGTTTTGTAGCCCCGAATTGAGGATTTTTTCCTAAATTGCTTTGTACCCCAATGACCCCAAAATTTTTGTACCCTCCAAATTATTTGCCTAGTTTCTTAACTGGTTGGTCGCTCCGCTCCTTGTTTTTTCTCAAAAGGTCACGTAAATCCATATTTATTTTTCAACTTTTTCAAGTCGACAGAATGACACCGGGACCAACAGACGCGTGTAGCGTTATATATATATAAAGAAGATAAATGAAGTTGCGTCTCTTCTTTAAAATGTGAGTCAAGAAGCGACGAACAGTAAAAGGTATAGGTTACATTGCGCCGAAGGCCCACCAGCCAGCTCTTTGAAGCGCCGGAGGCGCGGCAAACAGGCTGGTATATATATAACGCTAGACGCGTCTGTCTGTCCCGATGAGAATCTGTCTACTTTTGAAAAACTTAAAAAATAAAAATTGACGTGACCCTTCAAGAAAAACGAGGAGCGGAGCTACGCGCCAGTAAAAACTAGGTTAAATCGCGCCGAAGGCGCACCAGCTTGCTGGTTTTCTATATCTTTCACAGGAAGTGAGATAAATGGGCTCAAAGATGACGGTTCGGGTGGCGTTCTAGAATGTTACCGGTATCTTTTTTCCCAGAAAATAAATTCTAGAGAAAGCATCTGACTAACGAAACAGAACCTTGTTTTTTCAAAAAAAAATTACAGAAACTAATTTCGAAAATTTGATGAAAAAGTGACTAGACTTTCTAGTAATTTATAGGTAGACAAACTCAAAAATTTCGTAGTCAAAATGGATTTTTGATCGAAATCTGAATTTTTGACAGGTGAATTGATATAATAGAATGGCATAATCGGGTAGTTCTACAAGACGGAAGCAATTTAAGAAGCAATTTCAGAGATCCGATTGTGCAGAATTTTCATAATTTATGATTGGGGATAATTGCAGTTTGGATTTTGGGGGTTTTCAGAATCAACTTTCCACTTTGATCCTATTTATCTAGGTTTCTGTAAAAGATATCAAAACTTGGTTAACTGATGAAATGATTTTGATATTATGATAAACATTTTATCAGTTGACAACCTCTCAGTTTTTTACAGGAAATGTGATATATGGGTTCAAAGTTGAAATAATATTGCATTTTTATAACTTTCCAAAGAAATCTTCCAATCAGAAAAATCCATCAAGCGCATCTGATTCAAATTTATTCAAAAAAAATTCCGAAGATCAAACCATTGAAAATTCAAAAAATTACTTTCCCATGACGATGTCAAAAAAACTGAGTTCGGAAGCACTCACAGATTAATCATGGAAAAATTGTGCTAGGTTTTTTGTCTGGAATGGAAAATGGGGTTCCTTGAGAATCCAAAAATTCAAAACAGACGTAAAATCACAAAGATCGAATGTTGGAAAATTCAAAGAAGCAAGATTCGATATTTTGAGCACTGGACCGGAGATTTATTTTGCATTTCGAATCAAGCAAGGGGAAAAATAAAAATATAACGACCTGCTGTCCCGAATAGCCGTTCTTGACCTATCGAGGGCGGACTTTTGATCACGTTGGACAGAACTACGTTTTTATTAAATCAGGACGTAGACAGAGAGAACGCGAACTGACCGGGGATCGGTTGGTTGGTTGGTGTTGTCATATAAGAAATTGATACTGACTGCTTGTATCCATCCCCTCTATTTTTTAGTGCATAAAAAGGTATAACTTGGGTCTTCCAGAAATCGGTAAGTAGCTGAGTAACTGGGAATTTTCAAAAAATTCTGCAAATGCAAAGTTCTCAATCTAGGTCTGTTTCACACCCTCCAAACTTTTCAAAGTGATCGGACACTTGACAGCTGAGCTGCAGACTCCGGAAAATGGCCGAAAATCAACTGAAAAACACGTTTTTGTATATCTTATGGATAGGTACTGTATATCAGTGATGGGAGGAGTTTATGTTTCCGTTTCCGTTTTCCAGAAAAATCGCCAACTTTTTTTCAGCGGAAACGAAAAAAAATGTAAAAATTGACGAAACGTTTAACTGAAGCTGGCTCGAAATAAGCATGGAAAGTGAGGCAAATATAGTCTTCAAATGTTAAAAAGTGTTTTTTTTTCATGATGGGAAAAAAATACCGAAAAACAGACGCAAAACAGAAATTTCCATTTCCGTTTTATTTTTCCGTTTTCCGTTTTCCGCCCGATTTTTGAAGATTTTTTTCCGTTTCCATTTCCGCGGAAAAAAATCCGTTTCAGTTTCCGTTTTCCGTGAAATTTTTTACTCGTTTTTTTCGTTTTCGTTTTCCGCGGAAAAAAATTCCCCTTTCCGTTTCCGTTTCCGTTTTCCGTATTTCGAGAAAAAAAACGTTTCCTCCCATCACTGCTGTGTATATCAGTCAGGTTGTAGAATACTGTTCGTTTATGGTTATGCACTAGGTATACCTAGGGTAGCAATAAAAATTGACAGCTGAACATTTTTGTCTGTCGAGGAAGTTATGCAAACTTTTCATGCATTTTTTTCATTTCACATCATACTAAAAAATTCCAGGTGCACTATATTCTAAGAAGCGGATTTTGTGTCTTTGTCAGGTAATCTGAAAACCGAGACGGACTTTCAGATGGTTTGACTCATTTCTGGATGTCCTAACAGTCAGTTTTGAACTTCCAACAATTAACTCGTTCATACCTCTTCGAAATTTGTTTTTTCAATTTCACTCTTCATTTATCTATCAAAAGGAAATACGCTTTTTCCTGCTGAAAATTTTTTACGACAGCTGAAAAGTCACCTAATCAATATCAACAATCTCAACAGTCAATCTCAACAATTCTATTCCAAGCTTTTGTTTATCAAATTCAGCTTCATTTGGCAAATGTACCCACTATCCCCAGAAGTATTACGCTTACTTGCTGAGCCCACAAACTACACCTATGATGATTTCTCGCTTATCGGCTCATCCTGCCAACACATTCATAAGGCAAGAACAACTGAAGCAGAGTATCTATTATACCTACATCTGATAGCATTCGTTTCTACTCTCTTCACATTTTTAGCAGTCTACTGTATTTTGTTCAAAAGCTCTCAAAGTATGGGAAACTTCAAGTGGTGTTTATTGAATCTACAAATTTGGTAACATATATTTTTGAACACGCTTTCCATGACGGGCGGGTAGCGAACGGGTAGCTGCTACCCGCCCGTACCCGTACCCGCCAGCTACCCGCCCGCTTGCTACC